GATTCTCTCTGAACTGCCTGGTCTTTTGAATGTTTAATGTCAACCATTTGTGCAGATAGCATGAAGTAGAAAAGATCGCCGATGCTAGCGTTAGCATTAGCATTTCTCCCCCGGGCTTAAATTGTGTATTATAGAATGATCACACCGGTGTGACAGCACTCTTCAAAGGGTTCACGAAATATGACTACTACACTTACTGTGTAACGTTTTGGGTTACTTAATGTTACTTCATATTAAGGCTAATACAAATGACAAGGCTGTAATGCTAACTAACGTGCTAGCTACTAGCTAACTTGATCCAGCCACTCCTGGTCCTTTCATCAGACGGGAAGCGAAAGAACGAGCCAGACCCATTGCTGGTATGATAACAACCCGGTACTTAGCACACAGGCATCTTGTTAAAGTTATCTTATCTTAGCCAGCGCCATATAGATAGATTATATTACATTACATTGCATTTAGCTGACGCTTGTATTCAAAGCGACTTACAATAAGTACATTCGACCAGGAAGATACAACCTTGAAGAAAACAGAATCATATAAGTACATCAGGTTTCATAGAGCCAAACATTTCAAGTGCTACTCAACTGGCTTTAGATAAGCCAGTCCTTTATTAGTATATAAGTGCTTTGTTAGTAATTCTATCGCTCGAAGTGGAGTCCAAAGAGATGAGTTTTCAGTCTGCCCCGGAAGATGTGTAAGCTTTCTGCTGTCCTGATTTCAATGGGGAGCTCATTCCACCATTTTGGAGCCAGGATAGCAAACCCACGTGTTTTTGCTGATGGGAACTTGGGTCTCCCTCGCAGTGCGGGTGCAGCGAGCTGTTTGGCTGATGCAGAGCGGAGTGCACGTGCTGGGGTGTACGGTTTAACCATGTCCTGGATTTAGGAAGGGCCAGATCCATTCGCAGCATGGTACACAAGTACCAGTGTCTTCAAGTGGATTCTAGCAGTTACTGGAAGCCAGTGAAGGGAGCGGAGGAGCGGGGGGGTGTGGGGTCATTTAGGAAGGTTGAAGACCAGACGAGCCGCTGCATTCTGGATGAGCTGCAGAGGTCGGATGGCACATGCAGGTAGACCAGCCAGGAGGGAGTTGCAGTAGTCTAGGCGTGAGATGACGAGAGCCTGGACCAGAACCTGCGTGGCTTTCTGGGTCAGGAGGGGACGTATCCTCCTGATGTTGTAAAGAGTGTATTTGCAGCAGCGGGTTGCAACACCGTCTGCAAATATTTCTGCACTGTGGGACACGATTTAATTAAAAACAACATAATATATAATAATCAAAAAGTCTTTTTCATTAAAACCTTCTCACAGGTTTTGTGTATAGTGACAACAAAAGGCCTTAAAGAGCCTTTCACTGACCCTTGTGTTTTGCAAACACTATGCTCAAATTGCTGTACATTTCCACGACAAACTTCCTTTCATAACACAATATGTCGCTTAAACTTGCCTGTGCCATATACAATTACAGAGGTGCTAAGAAGTAGGGGTTTGAATTCAACATTATATATTAAACAATGTATGTTGAATTGACCAACATCTACTTTTTGGAATATAAGACACAATAGAAGAAATGTCAGAGAAGTAATGGTTTATTTCAAAACAGCAGACAACTAATAACCAGGAGGTGGATTTATTCAGTGTTAAAGCAACACGTACCCCCTTCAAAATATACGTTCCTGAGTTCCCATAACAATGTCCTATTGGAAAGGAACTTAATTAGCTTTCTTTATTACAATAGTTATTTAATGCTTGAACAAAATCCACATGGAACTTATCCAGAAAACAAAAAGCCCCTTACTGTACGTCAAACTGAAAATTATGAATGTGTGACTAAACGCTTCACATTTGAACTGGGTTGGTGACTTTGCCAAGAACACTAGTAGGTCCCGTTAATTTATCATGTTTATTTCAGGTTGTTCAAACCCCTTTATGGCTGTGGGATTCTTCTGTGCTTTTACTACAGTAGTTAACGTGTCACTAGGTTGATGGTAGTATATGCAAAGCCTTCTTTATTTAGTTAAAAGGCATACATTACTGTAGGCATGCATTTGGACTGGTTATCCATTGTTTCATGTCTTTAAGTATACATTTCATACACATAGTATTCCTTTACCATTATAAAGTCACATTATATTCTGTATATTGTGTTCTCTTTAACATTATGACACTTTAAGATCATTTTCCTTTTCCTGCTGTGTATATTATTTGTTATCTTTTCATGTTTTAAATTGTGTATGAACTGAAAACTTAAGTATATACTGATATTCTGTTGAAAATGCATGTTTTGCTACTTGAGAACTTGAACTTATGCCATCTTAAAACACTTGGGTTACCACCTTAGATTAACTCTAACAAATGTGCTTCTTTAAAATATACATGGGGTTACAGAAAACCTGAATCACCTCTTTGAGGGACAAATCGTGTTCAACAGTACAATTAACTCATTCCAGTCGTGATGGAGTTTTAATTGCCTTAAGTGGCCACTTTACTTGTTCCTTCCCTTTTAATAGCAACTATGTTCTCCGCCAAAAGCTCCTGGAGATAAACAAGGCAGGAAGTGTTTGACATTTGAGGTCAACAGTGACTTTCTGTGCAGTCAGTGGGACACTTTGTCAAAAGACATGAGCAAGTCATTTGGGTCCGAATTAAAGTCTGGCGAACTAACCAAAGATTTGATCAAATTGCTTAAACAGAAACAACCGTCTGTGCTGAACAAATAAATAAAGTTTTAAGCAAAGCTGACATTTTATCCAGCCTGTAGACCTTCATTATCACCCATTTACCTGCTTAGCTTCCCTGACGCTCATATCTGATAAAGGAACATTGGTCACGACTGCAGTGTTATTAGAGTTCAATTATGCAAATCCTGTTTGAACTCTTAGTCATACTGTAACTCAGAAAAGTGTTTACAATGTGTTGATTCAAGCTCACTGAGGGGGACAGAGACGTTCACACACTACACCATCTCTCCACCCTTCATGAGATGCAAGTCTTGTTCACACTGGATCTGATCTAGAATTGTGAGGATCGGTATTTTTAGCAGAATAACTTCTAGACAGTTCCCTCAGCCTTTAGTACCTGGCTATCTATGGTAGGTTGGGTGTGAACCTCAGCTTGGTCCCCGGCCTGTGGCCCTCCGGCTCGGGGAAGATGGTTCTGAAGGTCAGGTTGATGCGCGGCCCTCGGTCGTGGTACTCTTTACCCACTTGATGCTGGTGGACACAGATAAAAGATGTATTTTAGTGACAATGTATGTGTTGGTCTTTCATTCAGAGAGATTGATATACAGTTAGGAGGTACTGGCTTAGAACAAATTAATGCGGATACCCTTTTTCATGTCCTATAACCAATCAATCAAATTGTATTCATATAGCCCATTATCGCAATTACACATTTCTCTCAGGGTTTTTTATATACATCGTCTCTTTGCCCTCTCTTATAGAACTAAGATGTTAATAACATATTTATATGGATGTCCTTTCCTTAACCTAGCCATCTAAAAACATCTTCTAAATGTGGAGAAAAAAATTATTCTATTCCCCTTACGAGAGACAAACATAGCCAACATGATTCAGTTGACTAAGCAATATTATGCTTTTTGTCTTTGTGGTTTTTACAAACAGAACTTTAGTTTTTATTGGTCAGCACCCTTTCAATATTTAAAATAAAATCTACAGTGCAACCCTATGCAAAAGGTTTAGTCTATTTATTCCAGTTTGAAATACTTAATATCTTAAGTCACCACTCAATGTAGAATACACCTTAATGACAGTAGTGGACAGATTGTTAGAGCTGATACATCGAATTGGAGAAAGCCTTGTTTCTCCCATTAGTTCAGATCCAGTTATTTTGACTATTCGACTGATGCTGATAATGTTCTCATGGGCTGCTTGCTTCTGTGGACCCAACCTGTGAGTAGCTGAAGAATAATGTGTCAGGTCATTTGTTTTCTCAGCAGAGAATGAGACCCGTGCAGCAGTCTCGTGGATTTTGGTTCAGTTGGCATCAAATGAACATTTCATACCAAAGGGTTTGTATGAGACACAAGTACAGGCTGTACTTTGTTCATCTGGGAAATCTGATATTGTCTCGACTAGAAAACATAACTCAATTAAAAGCATTCAAATAAATATGTATTTTTGGTCCCAAAATATATTCTTATCTGCGTAGATAGCGTTGATCCAGAGGAACATTTAGACATCACATTGATTATATAAAAAGCTTATTCACACAAGAATCAAAACATAACAGTAAGATAGCCCCACAAAGACGTCACTATAATAGCGTGTGTGCTAGCGGAGGCAATTCAAATGTAAGGTGATTCAATTGGGAACAAATGCGCAAGAATAATGACATCTGTGCGCAATATAGAACATTCAATGACACATTTGAACAAACAAACACAGTAAAAGTAAAGTTAGATAGCAAGCTGCTGGTGTCATCACACAAAACAAAGACTAATGCATGAAATGGAGATTTAAAAAAAAAGAAGAGATTTGAGGAACCAAGGAATTAAGAAGATTAGTCTTTTTTAGGACTTTCCTAAACAGAAGCATTTTTAAGCCAACCTCTGCACTCGATACACATTGATGTGAGTATAGAGTGCAGAGGTTGGCTTAAACTGGTTGATACCAGAACATGTGAAAAGAAGACAACATTTTCTTACCATGTAATGTGGAGTAAACGGCAGTTATTATTATTTTGACCTTTTGCAACACACACACACACACACACACACACACACACACACACACACACACACACACACACACACACACACACACACACACACACACACACACACACACACACGAAAGGTTTGCTTTCCCACAACAGAGTCAAAGGAAAGAGTTTGGAAGAAGTAACCTCTGTATCCCTTTCTAACAAATGAAGTACTTCAGCAGGATTGGCATGTTTAGTTAAATATGTAGCATTTATTTAACATCCAACCCTCTCCAGGAGCTTTTATTAGGCAGAGCAGGGCTGCTGTGTCAGAGGAAGAATTAATGGACGTGATCTTCTTTCTCTGGCCGGATCTTGAAAGGAGAGATGAAACCTTTGTTTCTTTGGAGGTGTCGCCATAAAACACCTGTGACCTTCTCCCTTTTTGATTTGAAATCTCCAACCTCTTTCACGGTCTCTGTAGTTTTCCCTTTATTTAGTCCCCCTTGTTCCCTTGTACCATCTTACTCCTTTTTTCTTAAGTTTCTTTTTCAGCATTGACTTTATTATCTCATTAGAGCTTGGAGATAAACAGGAAAGCCAGGGACAAGAGGGAGCTGAAAACACGCAGCGATTTCCCGCCGGCTGGATATTGACCCCTAACCTCTGTGATAAGGTCTCTGGTTTCCTACATGGTGCAGCCAAACTGCTTTCTGTTTTCGCTTAATTTTTGGCGTGACCAGCTAGATTTTAACACAACATATTGATAAAGGATTGTCTCAAATATAGTAAGTCAAAACTATGACCACGTTTCTTGTAGTATTTCCCCCCTAAATAAAAAAAAAAAATTTAAAACGTAGAATGTGGGTAATGTGAAACTGAGAGACACATAATGTTTTTATTTTGTTCTGGTGGTGTTTTTAGAGGTGCGATTATGCTTTTGGGGGTTTTCCCTTCCCTTAATTGTGTTCTATAGGTTTCTGTGCATGTGAACAGTCTGCAAAGGCAGTGTGAGAATACATTATTAAAGCATGTGAAAATGTCACAGTAGTATAGGAGCCTTCATCTAATCTTTTAAACGGTGAAAACACAAAATCAATATTACATTAAATCTATATAATATAACTAAGTGTCACCATCAACTCCAATGATTTTATTTTCAACAGAAACCAGCTACTCTCTCGTGCTCTCTGTAACACAGAAAGACTTTTCCCTTCATGCACTCTTATCAACCTGGCAGCTATGTCTGATTGTAAAACAAATGTCATCATGTCATCATGCTGAAGCTCTGTTCTTCTTGCTTCATCCATCTTTCTGCCTGTCGTTCAGGGGAGGAACACGAGAGCAGTAAACACAGGTCTACTCTCTCACATGTGTTAAGGCCATGCACTCGATCACCCACACATGCACTTACCCACATACACACACACTTACCCACATACATACACACTTACCCACATACTTACCCCCCACACACACACACACTTACCCCCACACACACACACACACACACACTCACTCCACACACACACACACACACACACACACACACACACACACACACACACACACACACACACACACACACACACACACACACACACACACACACACACACACACTTTCAGGGACGACTGTTGAATCTGTTTACTTTTTTTAGTCTAACATTTATCTCTGTTCAGCAAAGAAGATAAAAGTATTAATTAAATAATTAACTTTCCAAAGTTAAATGTTGTTGTTATTATTTACTAGGGATTCTATCATGGTCAATAGGAAAGTCATTTTTGCCAACAATTTAGATGTTTAGAACCTGTCTATGTGGTGTGTAAAATAAAAGTTCTGCAAAACAACCGCATATTTGTGTTAATATTTTGGCATACTAAAAACCCTCATAGGAGAAATACCATTTTCATTATCTTCCCTTTTAGCAACATATAGGTACTAGAGTCCTGGTACTAGGATGGGTTAAAAGCAGAGAACACATTTCACTGTGTGTGCTGTGCTGTGTGCTCTGCATGTGCGACCATTAAAGAGGGCTTCATCCCTCCGATTCTATCTATCTAGAAGTTAAAAGTTGAAAAAGAAAAAGCAAGCGGAAAAAAACCCAACAAAACAAGTTACACCCCTTTTAAAGAGGTCTTCTATTTCCACCTGATTCTGATCCACCCCCGTGTCCAGTGGCTTCTATAAGAGGCCATTTTGCCTGTATTGGCCCTTGCATTTGATTGGTGGAGCCTACCTGCCAATCATCTTGTGTGGCTTCGTCCATCAGCAGCAGCGTCCCGTGACTCAGAGGAACCCGAATCCTCTCCACATAGGTGTAGTCGCCATTCTCCTCCTAACACATGAAACATCAAGAGTTTATTAACACACACATTTTGGTACAATGTACGGTCCCATGACTAAAAACACATGGTAATGCACAAAGGACGAACAAATAGCTCATTTGAAGTCTCATCCTCACAACTAAATGTTACTACAACTCTTCTACATCACGACTAAAGAAAGCCTGTCTCCTGAGAAGTGTATACTTTAACTCTAAAAATAACAGACAACTTTTAAACACAGGAATATAAATCCTGCGCTGAGTGTAAACACAATACCTGTCTTAAGCCTTTCTCTGTGTGTCCAGTTTTTTCAGTACCTCACATTGGAAGCTGTTTTACACTCTGTAACCCTTGGTCATTTATTTTGTTTTTTAAAAGCTTTGCACAGCAGTTATAGCACGCAGTAGAAGCAGAGGATACCCTCTTTGTCTATAAGCAAAGTGTTACCACTATACTAACTCTACAAACAGCAAAAGGTCAAAAAGAGTGTCAGCAGGATTTACAACGCCAAACACTAGTATTCGTTATTTTAACCTATATTTAACCAGGACAGGTCTCATTGAGATTAAAAATCTATTTTTCAAGAGAGTCCTGGAGTATTATATGAGACCTCGTTAATGAATACTGGTAGTTGGATGAGGAAAACATAGAACAATCATACAAGGAAGTGTGAGAGCAGCATAGTTAAAGTATTCCAAGACTTTCAGTGTTCAGAAGCAAAACAAAACAACAACTACTTCTTAGTCCTAGAGTAAGAATGGACACCATTGTTGTCAGTCTGCCATCATCTCACCGGTGCAGGCTGTTTGCGGAGGCTGAACACTCGCGTGTCACCCAGACTGAGGGAGGCGATGGTGGGCTTGTTGCCCAGCGAGGCCTCGTCGTCACTGTGCCAGCCGATGCTGTCGTGGCAGTTCCGATACAAGTTACAGAGCAGAGAGTTGAAGCTGCAGCCGCTCGCCTGCTGCACGGCGCCGCGCAGCGTCAACAGCAAGGGGTGCCACTGAGGGGGGGAAGAAGGGAAATACAAGACAGTTCAGAAGATAATTTAGAAGGAAAAAGAGGGAAATAATGAAAATAAACTAACAAATAAAATAAAAAATACAGTGAAAAAAATTACATTAGAGAATAAAAAACCAAACAAGGAAAAAATAATTATGCCGGAACTGTCGAAAAAAGTGAAAAAAACGACGGTCGAAAAAAGGGAAGAAAACGACCAGGGCGGAACTGTCGAATTTTTTGGAAAAAAAGACAGTAGAAAAAAGTGAAAAAAAGACAATCGAAAAATGTAAAAAAAAAAAAAACGACCTGTCCGGAACTGTCGAAAAAAGTGAAAAATAAGACCGTAGAAAAAAGTGAAAAAAAACGACAGTCTGAAAAATTGAAAAAAAAAGGACCAGTCCGGAACTCTCGAAAAAAGTGAAAAAAACGACAGTTGAAAAAAGTGAAAAAAAAACGACAAGTCCAGAACTGTCGAAAAAAGTAATTAAAAAGACAGTCGAAAAAGTGAAGAAATAAAAAAATAAAATGAATAATTAAATGAATGCTTGTTTTGGAGCCTTGGAGGTGAAATGAGTTCATCCTACCTGTGTGTTAGCGTCCATGGTGGAGCGAGCGTACGTGTACGGCAACTCTCCGAACCAGCAGGTCAGCCTGGGCTCCTCGTACCCCTCACCTGGAACAACACACACACACACATTTTAGTCAGTACTCAAAAGTATCATTGCTCGACATTAAAGTCATCTTCTCTTAAAGGTGATATCTCAAGATTAAAATGGTTGAAATGTATCTACTGATGAATTTACAAAAGGACTAGCAGGTGGTAAATGTTAAGTTCCATCTTCATTGTCATGCAGTGTTTCCCCTAGGATGGAGTCATAGCAGCGGTGCTAAGGCACGTGGGCCCAGCATAATGTGAGCGTGGAATTTTTTAGTGTGTACGCGTGCGAAGTGCGCCCCGCCAATTTGTTTCTATGTGTCTTCCAGCGCAAGAAAGGCTCTTGAGGCCTAGTACCAGGGCCGGTTCTAGACAATTTGCTGCCCTAGGCGAGATTTTATATATAAAGAATAAATGAAAAATCTCTACAAAAGACAAATACACTACAAAAACAGAAACTTATTGACATAGGTAGTATACGTCAAAATGGCTTCAAATGTATTCAGTATTGTATGAACATGTTTTAATTGGGGGGTGGACATCACCTCCTCTAGGGGGGTTCGGGGGTATTAAAGTCAAATGCTTCAATCTGGTGCACTTTGAGCACACAATTACTCGAGACCTGATCTAGGGGGTACAACTCTAAAACACCCATATGAAAAAGATCAGTTTACATTTTAATAATCAAATAAGTATGTGAACATAACCAATAACCTACCATAGCCAATAACAAGTAAATGTAGCTTATTTAATTGTTGTTGTTCATTCATATATTTTACCTAGTTAACATTTATTTATTCGTGCATATTTTTGTATCTCTCCAACCTTAAACGATATTTTTGGTTTACTGTCCTATAGTATACACTGGAATGATTTGAAACCTGTTTTTATTTATCCTAATAATTATAAAGGAGTGCCTTGGAAATATGTGTTTACATAATTTGTGGTCAAAACGTTTGAGACCCACTGAGATAACTTAGACTAAAATGAACTATCTAAATACTCAGAGAATCCTTAACCTCACTGAACGTCTCAGTCTGACAGGAGAGCTCTCCTCCACCATGGTTGTAGAAACATCTACTTCTTATATCCATTAGCGCAGCTAGCCTCTCTCTCTCTCTCTCGGCTGTTACATTTACTTCATTATGAATGTTGTTACATCAAGGCCGAAAATTAGGATGAGCGCCAACGGTCAAAAATGTTTTTTCCCCTCCCACAGCTACCAGCGCAGCGCCCCCCAGATCTGGCGCCCTAGGCGACCGCCTATGTCCCCTATGCCAAAAATCGGCCCTGCCAGTACATACAGTGGCAATGTCTCAAGATTTAGCTATCT